ACCTGGGACCCTTCAGTCCGCAGGCTGACGCTCTATCCACCGAGCCAAACCGGCTAGGGCAATTGCCATTTTATTGTTCATATTTTTGTTGTTGTTCTTCTTCCTCTTCTTCCTCTTCTTAAAGAATACCCTTCAACATTTCATCTAAGACTGATTTGGTGGTGATGAACTCCTTTAGCTTTTTCTTGTCCATGAAGCTCTTTATCTGACCTTCAATTCTAAATGATAGCTTTGCTGGGTAGAATAATCTTGGTTGTAGGTCCTTGCTGTTCATCACTTTGAATATTTCTTGCCACTCCCTTTTGGCCCACAAAGTTTTTGTTGAGAAATCAGCTGACAGTCATATGGGCACTCCCTTGTAAGTAACTAACTGCTTTTCTCTTGCTGCTTTTAAGATTCTCTCTTTGTCCTTAACACTTGACATTTTAATTATGATGTATCTTGGTGTGGGCCTCTTTGGGTTCCTCTTGTTTGGGACTCTCTGTGCTTCCTGGACTTGTAAGTCTATTTCTTTTACCAGGTAGGGGAAGTTTTCTGTCATTATTTCTTCAAATAGGTCTTCAATATCTTGCTCTCTCTCTCTTCTTCTGGCACCCCCATAATGTGAATGTTGGAATGCTTGAAGTTGACCCAGAAGCTCCTTACACTATCTTCATATTTTTGGTTTTTTTTTTCTTTTTGCTCTTCTGATTGTTATTTTTTGCTTCCTCATATTCCAAATCGTTGATTTGATTCTTGGAATCCTCTACTCTACTGTCAAACCCCAATAAATTATTCTTTGTTTCAGTTAGTGTATGCTTACTTTCTGACTGGTCTTTTTTTTTTTTTTTTTTTAATATCTTTGACATTCTCACTAAAGTCCTTGAAAGTCTCACTAAGTCCCTTGAAGCTCTCATTAAGATTCTTGAGTAACCTTAGAACCATTGTTTTTAACTCTGTATCCAGCAGTTTGCTTGCTTCCATTTCTTTTATTTGTAACACTAGAGGTCCAGTGCATGAAATTCATGCAGTGGGGGCTGAGGGAGGGGTCCCTCAGCCCAGCCTGCACCCTCTCACAGTCTGGGACCCTCGGAGGATGTCCACCTGCTGGCTTAGGCCCGATCCCTGGGGGATCGGGCCCAAGCTGGCAGTCAGACATCCCTCTGGCAGCCCAGCAGCCCTCAGGGGATGTCCACTTACCAGCAGGGAGCAGACCTAAGCTGCAGTCGGACATCCTTAGCGCTGCTGAGGAGGCGGGAGAGGCTCCCGCCACCACCGCTGTGCTGGCAGCCATCAGCCTGGCTTGTGGCTGAGCAGAGCTCCCCCTGTGGGAGCGCACTGACCACCAGGGGACGGCTCCTGCGTTGAGCATCTGCCCCCTAGTGGTCAGTGTGTGTCATAGTGACCAGTCATTCCCAGTTGTTCTGCTGTTAGGGTCAATTTGGATATTACCCTTTTATTATATAGGATAGAGGCCTGGTGCACGGGTGGGGACCGGCTGGTTTGCCCTGAAGGGTGTCCCGGATCAGGGTGGGGGTCCCGCTGGGGTGCCTGGCCAGCCTGGGTGAGGCGCTGATGGGTGTTTGCAGCTGGTCACACCCCCTTCAGGGTGGGGGTCCCCACTGGGGTGCCTGGCCAGCCTGGGTGAGGGGCTGATGGCTGTTTGCAGGCTGGTCAAGCCCGCCCTCCCCTACTGGGGACCCTTACCCCATGGAAGTTTGGCCAGCCTGGGTGAGGGGCTGATGGCTGTTATCAGGCTAGCCACACCCCCTTTAGGGTGGGGGGGTCCCCACTGGGGTGCCTGGCCAGTCTGGGTGAGGGGCTTAGGGCCGTTTTCAGGCTGGCCAAGCCCCCCAGTGATGGAAGCTCCCAGCCTCTCCTTTTTTTCTTTTCTTTTTTTATTCTGGGATTTATTTACCTTCTATAATTGAAACTTTGTAGCCTTGAGTGGAGCTCAGAGCCGGCCAGGGCGGGGCGGGAAGCTTGGCTTCCTCCATTGCCAGGGGCAACCCAAGCCTCCTGCTCGCTCCAGCTCTGTGGCCATGGCCGGCTGAAAGCAGGTATCTGGGGTTTATTTATCTTCTATAATTGAAACTTTGTTGCCTTGAGTGGAGCTCAGAGCCGCCGCTGCAGGCGGGAAGCTTGGCTTCCTCCATCACTGGGGCAACCAAGCTTCCTTCTTGCTCCAGCTCCATGGCTGCCGGCCGCCATCTTGGTTGGGTTAATTTGCATATAGTCGCTCTGATTGGCTGGTGGGCATGGCTTAAGGCAGAGTGAAGGTACGGTCAATTTGCATGTTTGTCTTTTATTAGTGTAGATGATGTTTCTTTGTCTTTGCACTTTGGCTGCTTCCCTGTGTTTGTTTCTGTGTATTAGGTAGAGCTGTTATGTCTTCTGGAATTGATAGAGTGGCCTTGTGTAGTAGGTGTCTTGTAGGGCCCAGTGGGTCAGCCTCCCCAGTCACCTGAGCTGGGACACTCTAGGTGCACCCCTGTGTGAGCTGTGTGCACAGTCTTGTGTAGTTGAGCCTTGATTGCTCTTGGTGTCACTGGAAATTGGAGGTATTGACCTGCTGTGCAGGAGACACCCCTATGTAGCAGGAGTTGCTTCAGTGGAGCTTTGGTGCTCACTGAGTCTGCCCCTTGAGTGTGTTGCTGTGGATGTGTAGAGTTGTAATCTCATATGGTCTGAAGCTGTCCACTGGGTGCATTGGCTGTAGGGCCTCCTGGGAAGTGCAAAGTCAGCCACTACCTGGGGCCACCCAGCAGAAGCTACAAAGAGATCTGCAGATGGCTGCTACTTGTATTAGGCTAGGAAGTTCCCAGGTGAGTCCTAGCTGTGAAGCAAAACAGGCTAATGCTAGTGCTGGGTCTTGGGCCTCTTATTGGTAGTTTTGGGGCATGCTGACTCCAGCTGCTGCTTGTTTGAGTGGTTTTAGGAAAGTCTGAAGCCTGAGCCAGCACAGGCTATCATATGGAAAAGCTGCTGCAAACAGCTTGGGTGGGGCTGCAAATTGGATGGGGTGGGGTCTCAGGGAATCACCAGAGGGAGCCAGGAGTATGGGCCACACTGAGGGAAACTCAGATATGGCTGCCAGTCAGCTCTGTGACAGGGGAGGTCCCAGCATAGGAACAATGACCCCTGCGAGTACCCCTATCTGGGAGAAATCCTCCCCCGAGTTCCTGCCCCAGTGCCAGACAACCCAGTTCCTCCAAGTATGTTCGTTGATCCCAAAAAGCCACCACCCAGTTTGGGAACTCAGAGGGAGTGGGACTGTGTAAGTTTCTGCTCAGTCCCTTTGAGGGAACTGTCTGGGACTCTAGCAATCTCTGTGTCACTCAGGAAAAGTCCCTGCTGTGTTTTTAAAAAAATGTATCTTTTATTATTGATAGCATTACAGATATCTCTTATTTTTCCGCTTTCCCCACCTCCTCCCAGCCTTTCCCCCCAGACCCATGCAGCGCCCCCCCCTCCCCAGACTTCACCAACTTATCACCTGTGTCTATGGGCGATGCACATAAGTATATAAGTTCTTTGGCTTATCTCTTTTTGTCACCCCAACCCCACATTGAGGTATATCAGTCTGTTCCATGCTCCCCGATGGTTTTTACAGCCCAAAGTTACGGGAACTTCTCTTCCCAGCTTTGGAACCCTGGGCTGAGGATCTGCTGTTGGGCTGGGATGCTGCTCCTAATGGGAGGCCTTTGCCATCACAATATCCCTCCTGATTAAAAACATGCCACACGTGGGTGTGGGACCAGCCTGGTCCTTGCCTCCACCCTTCCTATCAGTCTTGATGTGCTTTCTTCTCTAGTTATCGGACTTCCATTCAGCCAGATTTCAGGTGGTTCTGAGTGATGGTTGTTCTGTATTTTAGTTGTAATTTTGAGGTGGTTGTGGGAGGTGACGAGTACCGGCATTTACCTACACCGCCATTGGCTCAGGTGTACAACCAGTGATTAGACATTACATAACTTACTAAGTTGTCATCCAGATAAATTTCACATCCATCTGACACCATACATAGTTATTACAACACTATGGACTATATTCCCTATGCTGTACTTTACATCCCTGTGACTATTCTGTAACTACCAATTTGTATTTCTTAATCCTTCCCCTTTTACACCCATTCCCCAACTCCCTCCCCTCGGGCAACCTTCAGTACACCTGAAAATAATGCAAAATAATATTGAATGTAAAATTCTTACTGAAAAATGGAATAAACTAAAAAAGAAAGATGCTCTTCCTTTAACATGGGGCCTGTCCTCCAGGAACCCACAGTCTAGAGTTTGTTTAAGGTGATTTGAATAACAAAACTACAAAGGAAATAGGAATTAAAAAAAATCTGTGTTATTTTGTATACATTCTCTGACTTCCCCTTTGCCCAAGTGATACAATCCCCAAATAGTAGAGCCACGCACTGATGCATTGAACTCAAACAAATTCAAACACAGAGTAAGTGTGCATGTATTGGGTTGCAAATCACTAATGTGTTAGTGTGAACATCGCAGCTTATTTCTCCCACTCTTCCACCTACTGGGCATTGCTCCTGGGTGAGATGGGGTGGGGGGTGGGGGGGGGCTGCCTCTCCTGCTCATTCTGTTTCCACATGCCCTTCCTATTACCTGCCTCTCTATGTGCCATTCTAGTGTTTACATATACGTGTTTCTTGTGCATTATGAACCTGACACAAGCCAGCTACTTCTCATGGCGCCCCATCTAAGGAACAGCGTTCTGTTCCCAAACCTGGCAACGTAAGTGATGCTCAGGGAGTGTAATGTTGAGTATATGTGACTTTTGGACCCAGTTACTTTAGAAAGTTAACTAGTTTGCAAGACCTAACCTCCGTGTACCCAGTTTGAATTCAGCTAGGATAGGGGCAGAAGCAAAGGCATTGTTACTTTGCCAGAAAGCCTTTACTTGCTGTGAAGCCAGGTTTTAACCATCTCTCTCTCCCTCTCCTCTCTTCCTCCCACTCTCCTCCTCCCCGCCTCCTCCCTTTGTTTTCTCTTTTGCAGTCTGCTGTTTTGTTGTGCACAAGCGGTGCCATGAATTTGTCACGTTCTCCTGCCCAGGCGCCGACAAGGGTCCAGCCTCTGATGTAAGTAACGGGCACTGGTCACCTCTCTTTGTCCACAGTCATCGTGAGTGAGGACCCTGAGACAAAGAAGTTGGGATGGTCTCATGCCAAGGCACGTAGAGGTCCTTACAGCCTCTGGGACATTTTTCATTTTAATGGAAAAAAGAAAACATTTTAGACGGGGCTGTGATTATACAGGAAGCCTGCTAGTTCTCCTACTATGATGTTGCCAAATGTCTTTACAACTTTTTATTAAATTTATTGGGGTGACATTGGTTAACAAGATTATATAAAAGTTTCATAAATGCCTTCTCATCTTGACAGCGGGGCATGGAGAGTGGTGGGCGGGGCCGAGCTGTTCCCACTGCTGTGGAAAGGTGGTTGGAATAGTACCTTCCTTGCATGCACTTGATGGCTCTTTGCTGGGGAAACGTGGATACCAGGGCCCAGGAACTAGGAGGACATGACTTTGTCCCATTACTATGCACCCCCCAGTATGACTACTGAGGCAAGGGATGCTTCTAGGTAAAACAGGCAAATAATTTTTGCTTTAATTGTTATGAATTTATTTTAACGTGGATTGGAAAAATGTATCTAGTAGTGGTTTTGCCTTTGTAATAGGGATGTAAAATTTCCTACCTAAGTCAAGGTAAACCAAAGATGTATTGATTTAAGGAACATGTTAAGTGAATGATGGTATGGATACTATAAGGTTATGTATGGCAGAACCCTTGGTATGAGGTGTTCTTTTGTTGTTGTTGTTGTTGTTTGTTAATCCTCTCCTGAGGATATTTTTCCATTGATTTTTAGGGAGAGTGGGAAAGAGAGGGAAAGACAGAGAGAAACATCGATGTAAGAGAAACACATTGATTGGTTGCCTCCTGCACGAGCCCTGACCACGTCCTGGGCTGGGGAGGAGCTTGCAACCCAGGTACCTGCCCTTGACCAGAATCGAACCAGGACCCTTTGGTCCACAGGCTGACACTCTATCCACTGAGCCAAACTGGCTAGGGCTGGTATGAGTTGATGTAAAGTTTCGGTACCTTGTTGATTGCCTCCCGGCAGCCACTGTGGCCCTCACACTCTGGCACAGGCATCTTTCATGCTAGAAGCTGAGATGCCTGGCAACTTGCTTTCCCACGGGCGTCTGTAGCTAGTGAATGAGCATGTGACCGAGCTCTGCTCAGTGGGGTGTGGAGCGGAAGCTGTGTAGGCTTCTAGGCGAGACTGTCCTTTCTGATAAGAGAAGACATCTCCTTCTGGTCCTGCTGGTGGTTGTGATAGCCCCTTTGGGTCGGTGAGGGAGGCGTGGCTGACATGCTGAGCACGGCAGAGAGGAAGGAACCCCAGGCACTGGTGACATCGATAAGCTAATGAGCCAACCCTGAGTTCCTATGCCAGACAGTGTATGTGCGATAAGAAGCTCAGCACGAGGACTTGTGAGTCTTGAACTTCCCAGGAGGACTTCCCACCATGGACAGTCTCCCACCGCCCAGTCATGAATTGCGTTCAGGGTACCCACCGGGCAGCTGTCACCCTAGTTCTCTTATTTGTCCGGTTTTGGTTCACCCTCCTGGAATTCTCTACATGGATTTTGTCCATTACTGGCCCTGTTCTTACCCACTTAGAACCGACAGCTGCCTTCAGAGTGGTGGCTACCTTAGGGCATTGGATTTCTTTGACTCTTGCTAACCTTTTACAAATAGTCATTTGCCACCACGTCCCTGCAAATCAGAGGCATTTCTGTTGCCACAGCAACATGAACGCTCTAGAGCTCATGCTGCAGTTGCTCTGCTTGGAAACTGGTACTTGGGGTTAAGAACTCCAAGCATCACGGAGCCACCAGTCCTTACCGGCCTGTCTGCAGAGACGAAGATGGGACAATTGTCAAGTTCCCTCAGAGCACGCTCCCTGGTCCTTCTAGTGCAATGGCTCTCTCATCTCCAGGAAAACAGGCAGGGAAGTTTGGGGGATGCTGCTCTGAACGTTCCTGCAGATGGGGAGCTGGGTACTCGGGAGCAGCCAAGGGGTGGTGTTTCCATAGCCTGTCCATGCAGGTGGGCAAAGTCGTGTTACAGTTGGAGCACACGAAAGAGTTCACTCTTGTATTATGAATTAATTATTGTATTATTTTCCATACAAACAACTGTAAGCCTACTTTTTCCAACTCCTGTTATTTGTTGACTTTTTCGGTTGCCTAAGACAGAAACTTAGCTCAAACTGGCTTATGTGAAAGGGGAAATTCTTGGTCCCTGAAACTGAAAAGCCCAGGGGTAGCCTGGCTTCAGACATCGGGATCCGGGCGCAGAAGTGAGGTCCTCAGGACTCTCTTTCTCCGCGTCTCGGCCCGGCCCTCAGGGGCGGGTTTCTCCCAGGGAGCGTGATGGCTGCAGCTCCCCTCCTCTTACGTATCCTCATGGCTGCAGCTCCCGGGAGAAGAGCTGAAGTCTCATTGGACCGTGGGTCCCATGCAGCCAGAAGGATGGCTGTGCTGATTGGCCAGACCTGTCATGTGTCTGCTCTGGAAAGGAGGGCCCTGTGTGGGAGAGAGTGAGTGAGGGAGAGGTGGTCACTTGGAAGAAAACTAGGGAAGAAATATTTTTTTTGAAGGTTTCAAATGTACTTTATTTCTCCAAACATGCCATATTTTAATGGGCACACAGTGCTTTCACTTGCCAGAAATATTGAGAACAGGTCAGAAATCACACACCATGGAGCCGGCATTCGCAGGCTCACATATGTGTGACTTTGGCAAATTACCTAAGTCCCTTTGTGCCTTAGATTCTTCCGCTGAAGATGGATAAAATAAGGGCCCCTACCCTATAGCATTTATGAGCATCCCATGTGTAAATATCAGTGACAGCACCGAGGACAGTCTGGTACCTGGCAAGAGCTGCGTGTGGAGGAGATGGTGATGACAGCAGGCAGCAAGGAAACGGTCCATGGCGTAGCAAGAAGGGTGAGCAGGTTCTGCTGCCACCTGGCAGTGCTTCCTGGCAGTGTGCGGCGCCATGGGGGGTCGGCGTCCCTCTTTGTATGCGCTGTGCGGCCACCCATCACCTCGCATGGGGAGAGCAGGAAGCACCCTGCCGCCGGCATGCATGGGATTGGCAGCCGACCTGGGATGAGCCCATCTCTGGGCACAGTTCCAAGAAGGCTGGTTGGCACCAAGGATGATGAATTGGTCCAGACAGCTGAATTGGTTTGAGTCTCAGTTCATTGACCTTTCTCTGTCCATGGTCGGAGGCATGATTACAGATCTGTCCACACCTGCTCACCAACCTGGCCAGCCTCTCATTGGCTGCCTCTGAGGCTCATGCGGGTTGGAGGAGTGCCCTCCTCCTGTGTGACCGTGGGGAGCTGGTGTGGTGAGCTCATGGAGCAGTAAAGCAGTCTCCATCCATGGAAAAGGAACATGCTGGGCTCTGCCCTCGACCCTCTGCTCTTTTAAGCCCAGCCTGAGCTAAGGAACATGCTGGAACTTAGAACCTTGTCTTCTACAGACAGGCCCAAGTCACGGAACATCAGTCCGCCTGAGGAGCTTTACGGACCAGGCACTGTCCCAGTGAGCCCAGCTACTGACCCAGTTATTCCGTGCCAATGGGAATCAATATCCTAGTACATGGGCACCCACTTTGGAGGACCTCCATGACAGAGTCCTGGCTGGTACTTCTGGTCACCTGCCAATATCCTCCTGGTTCCTGGTCCCTTCCTGTCTGGGAGCTCTCAGTCCTGCTGTCTCTTGGACCATTTCAAGCAGCATGTGCGGACATTACAGTTACGCATCATTTATAATGCCCATCACTTGCAGTGCTGTCCACGTACACAGCCTCCTGGGAGATCTTCTCAGAACAAGAGAGAGAGGCGTTGTCTCTGAAGGCTGGGACTAGGGTGAGTCAAATGAGGTACTTGCCCTGGGCACCTGTGTTGGTGGCTATCTGTGGCTGGATGATCTAGGATGGCTTGCTCACAGGACTGGCAGTGAGCAAGTTGTTGGCCTGGGAGCTTGGTTCTCCATGTGGCCTGCGTCCTCCAGCTGGCTCGGGCTTGTTCATGTGGTGGTTCCAAGAAGGGCTAGGGAGCCTGCCCCAATGCACAAGTGCTTTTCAGCCTGTGCATCATGTTTGCTAGGTCCCACTGGATGGTGCAGAACTAGATTTCACTCCTCGTAGGAGGGACGGCTCTCTGGGAAACCTACTGCAGATCATGTTGACTCAAAAGGCCACTGAGAGCACAACCTCTGACTTCACGGAAGATGCACAGGTTTTGGTGCCGTTCAGAGGGTCCTGCGTGGCCTTGTGAAGAGACGGATGAGCCACATCCACAATAGTGTCTGGCACACGGAAGGCACTCCATGAGTAGGTTCTCACTCACTGTCACTACCCGGAGGAGCGTCTCCTAGCTCAAGAAGGGCTAAGCTCCCTCTGACCTGCCAGGAGTAGTAGCTGATAATAATGCTTATTGAGTGGTGGCCCTGTGCCAGGTGGGGCAAGGGATTCTTTAGGTTTATATAAAAAACACGTTATTCAACATTTTATGGTTTTAGAAGTAATTCCTTATGATATATAATCAAGGTGCTGAATAAAATCCATTGTTGGTGCCCTGCGCCCTGCTGGCTCCATCGCTAGCTTGGCAGTTCCCGGCGGTGGGCACACACGGGGGGGGGTGGGGGTGCACCCTTTGTGTTTCTCCATCAAGTCCCACTTCGGGGAGAAGTATTTAAAAAGGACAAATGGTGCTCCATGTTGAAGATTTAATAAAAGGAAAATAGAAGGAGCTTTAGAAAGGAGATTTATATTTATATATTTAAAAAGGTATGTAGACAAATGCTAATGTGTTTGAAGATCTGGTGGAAATGAATGATTTTCCAGGAAATTTTAAATTGCCACTTTTGTCTGAAGAAGAAATTGAAAACCAGAATCGGGGAATAATAAAGAGAGAAATGAGAACATTGCCCAAGAAATGTTTTTCCTCCCAGGGCCCCAGTCTAATAGTCTTCGTGGGGAAATTACTTTAAACTT